GGTTTAGGTGCGTAGGATTTTTTTTTTTTAATTTTTGGTGAATGGAGACTTGAGAGGTTGGACAACACTGCCAGTGTATGTTTTCAAAGGTCTAAAACTCAGGAATTTTGACCACGTTGTTTTGACATAATTCCCATATTTGGAATCTCCCGTGTCGCTGCGACAGATGAGTAGGCGTACAGGTCATCATTTGCCGAGGTGGGTCCTCATATGGGAGAGGACCCTCATATGGGAGAGGACCTCCAATACATTCCCATATATTAACATAGGAAAGCCCTATTACTGGGCTGTGTCCGCAAACTCATGAAATCATGGCAGTGCCATGCAAACAATAACCCTAACAGCAAATCACCGTCGCCATGGCAATGTATGTTTTCATTGCCAATCTTGTTGTTTTTCCCCCAGACCAACATAATGGAATCAATTGCAAATGATCTACACCAGGTGACATGTCGCTTCCGTGAGATCGAGACAAAATGATTCAGCAATATTTACTCATCGAAGTCAAGCGACGATAGCACGTTCGTACCACCCAGTGCTATCTCTGCAAGGGAGCGGAGTAAACACTAAATGATTCAGCAGGATGACGTGGATGCTCGTACCACCCAGTGCTATCTCTGTGAGGGAATGGAGTAAACACTAAATGATTCAGCAGTATGACGTGGATGTTCGTACCACCCAGTGCTATCTCTGTGTAGGAGCGGAGTAAACACTAAATGATTCAGCAGGATGGCGTGCGTGTTCGTACCACCCAGTTCCGTGGCTCTCTGTGAGGGAATGGAGTAAACACTAAATGATTCAGAAGCGTGACGTGTTTGTACCACCTGGTCTTTATCCCCGAGTAGTACCAAACACGGACGTATTTTGGTCTACCTGCTGAGCAGGGAGCAGCAGCAGCTCACGGTGGGTTGCATCATGATCTTTATCTGACAGTGTATAGCCGGTAATCTCCAAGCAGATCTTTTGGTGGGGGTAAGACAGTATCAAATTGGCCAGTCTGTAACCATTTCCCCACCCATCCCTGTTCGAGTGCAGGCAGATCTTGGGTGGGGAAATGGTTACAGACTGGCCAATTTGATACTGTCTTACCCCCACCAAAAGATCTGCTTGGAGATTATATAGCCGGTATAATCGCCCTTCGATGTAACTCACCAACTTCGCAGACACTTAGCACGGTGACAGCTGTCTACATTACACCGAACGACTAGCACACCCAATACTTAGCTTTCCACTCCTCTAAAATTGGTTAAAGCTATCTACTGATAATGCCTCTACTGTACTTGAGAGTTCTACTTTGCTTTTAGGAAAGAATGAACCTTTGAACACCTTGCCTCGTTTGATAACTTGAAGGCATGACTATTTGTTCTTTTCTGAGCTGGTATTAGGCACTTAGTAGTAGTTACGTCCACCAGTTTAATTATATTAGTGATTATTTTTACATCATGTGTGACACCCACTGTAGGTGTCTGTTTATTTCCGTGACACTAGTACCTCTATCTATGATATCTGTTTCTTAGCTGATTAGCCTAAAATTATATCTCCATGAAAGATGGTAAATTTTAGATATGTAATTTAAATACGAAGTAATCTGCTTAACTCATATTTTCCAACATAAGTGCAGGCACCCTATGTAAATGTGCTTGAGCAGGTATGTTAATTGTCGCTGCCGATTTGTGAAATTTGTTTATTTGGTCAAATCAATCAAACCTAAAGTTTCATTCCTTACAATTAAGTCACGCCCTACACTTGTTCACATTTCAGAAGAGTATACCAGTCTATCAAATCGGTTTCCTATCTGCTATGCTACTGTCATGGGAAAGGCATGCTGTTTAATTCATGTAATTGCTACCTTTTTCTAGACGTTATATTTTAGTAGCGTTTGGTTGGTGTTTCTAATTGTATATGTGATTTATTACAATAACTCAAGAAGCCATGGAATATAGTTTGTAATTGTTCGACATACGTTGGCACTATACTAAGAAGACAGGATCACAGTGCTTTCCCAGTTGACCAATGATCCCGGCTGTTTCAGCCTGACTGCACTTACTTCCCTCTCCTCGTCCTCCATGCTTTTGACTTTTGAGCTCTTCCGCTACAAGCTGCTGCATTTCTCTCCTTACTGGGTGGGCCTCCTTACTGGATGGGTCTCCTTACTGGATGGGTCTCCTTACTGGATGGGTCTCCTTACTGGATGGGTCTCCTTACTGGATGGGCCTCCTTACTGGATGGGCCTCCTTACTGGATGGGTCTCCTTACTGGGTGGGCCTCCTTACTGGATGGGTCTCCTTACTGGATGGGTCTCCTTACTGGATGGGCCTCCTTACTGGATGGGTCTCCTTACTGGATGGGTCTCCTTACTGGACATCTTGACATTCTGCAGACACCACACTTTTAACTTACCAGGTGGCCCGCATCTATCAACAGCAGGTCTTCCACTGTTTCACCAACTCCTGTCCTCTATCAATGCACTTATTGTAGATAGAAAGCTGTGCATTCAAGAACCTGTTGTTTTTTGTTTTAATTTAGTATGCAGAACCATGCATAGGGCCTGACGAGG